CGCATCTTGGAGACGTCCGCTCACTACTCATACTTTTAAATTTTTGTATTTTGATATTAAAATGTTCGCCTATGTTCACTACCGAACTTATTATGCTGCTCTTCTATTTCAAACATCACGCTGCCAGCATTTCAACACTTTTGATCTTTTATTCAAAAGTTGATTGTGAGTTGATGTCGTAAAGCAAAATTCACTTATATACTTATTGACCCTTTCTGCACATCCCGCAGCAATGAAGCGAGCCCTTCTACGATGTTCAAAATGGTGGCTATAGCATCACTAAATCTCAGAAAAAATCTATACTGCGTACAGCGTGGTTACGACGACGTTAAAATGTCAGCTTGACTTAATCAACCTATTGTATGCCGAAATCGTGAAGAGCTCAAAATAAAATTCCACACTTGCTGTCTAACAGGTCGTAAATGTGACTATTTAACATGTAAAATAGGAGCATATCTTTAAGATGATGTTTTGTTGTTTATGGAAGAATTGCATGCGTAAAAAAAGAGCACTTAACAGGAGGAAAAAACTCATAGTTCGATATCTTTACGAGGAAAGCACGGGAAACGCACTTCGACCATTTTTGGCATCGAAAAAAGAAGGCTAGAAATATGCTAGAAGTTTTCTGAAACGAGGATGGTTGCTTATCTATAACACTGAGTTTAGCCGCTCCTACGCTATTTGAGATATGACTGCAAATAAATTGATACTGTTCGCTCATCATCCGCAACAACGATCACATTAGCGCGGAGAATTCCGTTAACGGTGTAAGAGAGGGTTTACCGCTTCTTCTGGGAATTTGCGGGTTTGAGGAAAGACCAAAACTGACATGAGAGGAAGAAATGTCTAACGATAGATAATAAACTATACCCGTTTTCTAGATCTGTGATGCGAAGAGAGCTGAGACGTTAGGCCAAATTTACATGAGAAATTGTTATCGGCATAGAAGAATATAAAGCATATAAAGTAGAATAAGCATAAAAGACAAAAGAAATGGGAAGTCGGGATTCATTTTAATCATCGTAATGCTCAGTGCGTAAATGATCATAGATTGATATAGGTATAAAAATCCTCCCAAATTTGTCTACTTCGTGCTTTTCTAACAAAGTTCTATGAACAGAAAGAAATGTCAATTTTTATTGTCAATTGAAGAATGTTTATTTGTCTTCATTTTTAAGATTGGCCCAGACCAGCTTAGCGATAAATGTAGCTGCGAACGAAGTTAATAATTCCGCTGTGTGGGGTAACCTGAAATGGTGATTTTACACAACGTCAAGATGCTTTTGATGGAACTCTTAACACGCAACACAGCATAGCTGTACTGTTTTTGCAGGGAGGAAGTCAAAGCTTAGCCAAAGAATCCCATCAGGTACACAAGAACACCGCGAGAAAAACTTCAACGGGGATTCTAGAATCCCTAGCGCGCAATATAGCATAGGTCTCATCCATTCTACCTACTTAGGAAATTTCATGCCTTTCAAT